ATGCTCCATCTGACTCCAACAATACGTGTACACAAATATCATATGCAAACGCTGTTAGAGGATTCACTGGCCCAAGCAACGTCCAAAATGAAAACTCTACTAAACCATCTTCAAATATTGAAAACATGATCCAACTGTTTATGGAAAATATCACACAATTTATGAACACCATGCAAAATATGATGCAGGGAATGATTCAAAATATCTTACTTTCAATCCTATCCAAACCATGAATGCAATCAAAATTTGCTTCTGGAATGCTAACGGCTTAAGCCAACATAAAAACGAACTTGTATTGTTTTTACAATCACATCAAATTGACGTCATGCTGATCTCAGAAACCCATTTTAACGAGAAAAGCTACTTTAAGATACCTGGTTACATACTCTACGATTCGAAACAACCCAGTGGACGAGCAAGAGGCGGATCTGCTGTCCTCATAAAAACCCACATTAAACACTTCCCAATTCAAACCCTTGAAGCAGAATATATGCAGGCGACAAGCATATGTCTAGAAGAATACATAAAAGGTCTGAATATAACCTCAATCTATTGTCCACCAAGGTATAAAATAACAGAACTTCAATTCGAAGAATATTTTACAAAGCTTGGACCCAAGTTCATAGCGGCCGGCGACTTCAATGCCAAACACACATTCTGGGGCTCAAGACTTATATCACCAAAAGGAAAATCCCTGATGAACATGATATCAAAACTCGACCTTAACATATCCTCCACTGGCACACCAACATACTGGCCTTCAGATCTGAAAAAAACTCCAGACGTCATTGATTTTGCAGTAACAAAGAATTTAAAAAGAGATCAAATTGCTACCGAGGCATCCTTAGAACTCTCCTCTGATCACACGCCGACTTTTATTCTGATTAGAAACACAACAATAGTCAATCCAAAATCTGATGAAAAGCTCACAAACCAGCACACAAATTGGCTAAAATTTAAAAAATATGTTAGCTCACATATTAACACCGACATTTCCCTAAAATCAAATATTGAAATTGACAAGGCAGTCCAGGACTTCACAGCTTTACTTCAACAAGCCGCTCGAATATCAACCCCACTCCCAATACCCCACAAACCTATAAACTACCATACATCGAACGAAATTGCAACCCTTATACAGGAGAAACGACAAGTACGACGCCAATGGCAACAACAACGATCCCCCCGTATTAAAAAACAACTCAAGAATCTGACGAAGGCACTTCAGAGATTACTCAAAGAAAAAAATCGCATAGAATACGAAAATTTTATTTCACAGTTGTCTCCAACGCAAACAACAAACTACTCCCTTTGGAAAGCCACTAAACTCAAGAAAAAGCCCGTTATACACAGAGCACCCCTCCGACTTACAGATGGAAACTGGGCTAAAAGCGATGAGGAAAAGGGTGCTGCTTTTGCAAATCACCTTAAATATGTATTTACCCCAAACTCTACTTTAACAAAACTTGACTCTCTGCCTTACTCCACACGAAACGACAATATGACAATTTGCTTCAGTAAAAAACCACTAAAAAGCGAAATCAAAAATTTAAATACCAAAAAAGCCCCAGGCTACGACCTAATTACAGCGAAAATGCTGAAAGAGATCCCACAAATCGCCAAAGATCAACTACTTTTTATTTATAACGCTATTTTAAGGACTGCATATTTTCCAAACGACTGGAAGCTATCCAAAATCATGATGATACCCAAGCCCGGAAAGGACCCCGCTCAAGTCACCTCATATAGACCCATAAGTCTGCTTCCAATTCTCTCAAAATTATTTGAAAAACTTTTTATAAAACAACTAATGCCATATATAAACAAGAAAAGAATAATACCTAACCACCAATTTGGATTTAGAGAAAAACACAACACAATAGAACAAGTACACCGCATAGTACGAGTAATTAAGGAAACGTTTGAGAAGAGGCAGTATTGTTCAGGCGTCTTTCTAGACATAACCCAAGCCTTTGACAAAGTTTGGCACGAAGGATTGTTCTGGAAACTTGAGAAACATTTACCATACAATATATCCTCAGTTATCAAAAACTATCTCTCAAATAGAAGATTTGTTATAAAACAAAATTCTTTTGTCTCCAATGCCTTCCCCATTATGGCAGGTGTACCCCAAGGTAGTGTTCTGGGCCCCTTGCTGTACCTGATTTTCACAGCAGACATGCCAACCAGTGACTGTACAACAACATCAACATTTGCAGATGACACTGCCATTCTCAGCCATAGTGACGACCCATTCACAGCCACAAAATCAGTTCAAGACCACCTCAACAAACTGCAAAAATGGCTCGATCTCTGGAGAATAAAAGTTAACGAATCGAAAAGTGTACACATAACCTTCACTCTACGACGAGATACCTGCCCTGCCCTTCGTATTAATGGAAAAGTAATACCACAATGCAATGACACCAAATACTTAGGAATGCACCTCGACCGAAGGCTTACGTAGAAAAAGCATATAGAAACTAAAGTAACCCAAATTAAACTCAAACAACAAGAACTAAACTGGCTGATAAATAAAAATTCTAAACTTAATCTCACCTATAAAGTGCAACTTTACAACACAATGATGAAACCCATATGGACCTACGGAATTGAACTCTGGAGCTCTGCTTCTCCATCAAACATTGAAAAACTTCAAAGAACTCAATCAAAAATCCTCCGGCAAATAGTCGGTGCCCCCTGGTATATAAAAAACGCAAATATTCATAGAGATCTTCGAATTGACACAGTCACAGATGTAATTACCAGCAACACACAAAAGTACAAAATCAAACTCAGGAACCATCAAAATCCACTTGCAAGCAACCTTACCCAAAGCGCTGGTACACAGCGACTCAAAAAAAACTACATAAACCCGGCTATTCAAGAATAACGCCCCACATGGTAACGCAATTGGACGAAGCTTTGGCTAAGGACAATTAATTATCTACTTTTCTTTTTTCAAATATTTTAATACAGCAATTAGCAGCGAAAATTTATTGTTAGTTCTAAGTTGATTTTTAGAAGATTCAATAAAAATCAAAATAAAATTTAAAAAAAAAAAAAAAAAAAACACAAAAACATATAATGATATGTCTTCACAAAAGGAGTTGGATGAAAGACCACTACCTGTAAGACGGAACTCCTTTACAACTTCATTAAATGTTCCTGTAAGTTCGAACCAAACTCCCGTAAAAATATTTGTCGAAAACATCGTATACATTTTACCTGTAAGTAATACAACAAATACCATTGCCACATTCAACATTTTTTATTGATAGACTGTTTCAAGCTCTCTAAGGTTGAAGAAGACCGTTCGAGTTCCAAAGTATTATTTTTATATAACTAAGCACGCCTAGTCAAGCGTTTGTCGAATGCTTTATAAAAGTTTTCTTGAGTGATGATTTTTTCTAGTATTTGTGTTAGTATTTTGTAATTTCCATCGCCCTCAGTGTTGGATTGAACTACTTCTGAATATGTATTTTTATTATTCAGCGATTTTCGGTTTTTATTCATACCATCAGTTTGATTACTTTCAGGTTGGTTTCCAGCCGATTTATTATTACTCTGTTTACCTTTGTTTTGTTCACCAATTTTTTTGTTTCTCAATTTTTGAAGTTCTTTCGCTACTATATAACCTCTATAATAGGTCGGGTGTCCCTCACCGCAGTTGCAATATTTTGGTTGGTGCTGATCACGTTTGTTGCATTCTGCAGTACTGTGACTGCCAGCACATTTAACACACCGGGCTGATTTGCCACAATAATTTTTTGTGTGACCATGGCATATTTTACACTGGTATTTGCTTTGAGTGCTTTATTGGTTCAATTTTAACAACACAGTTTAAAATGGCTTTAGTGTTATATATTTTTTTTATATCCTCTGTCGCCTCAAATGTAAGCATGAACATATTAAGTGAAATCTTTGAATGTGATTTTCACTTGTTGACCGCGTTCACGATTTTAAAACCTTGCTGTTTGAGATCGAATACGATATCGACTGGGTCACATGAATGAGGAAGATTTTTTGCAATATCCTTTAATGGTCGGAGATGCTTGTTTTCGTACGAATACCAGGCAGCTTTTTTTGAAGACAACACTTTTGTAACAGCTCTGAAGTCGCCTATCTCAAATGTACTGATTTTATAAGTACCGCTATTGAGGAGCTTAATAAAAAACTTTTTTTTGTAGTTACTTTTTACAATACCTTGGAGTTCTGAGTATTTATAATCTTCTGAGACCATAATTGGTGGTGAACGAGCTATTTTAAGATCCACTTGGGTAATTTTACTGGTCGCTATAGGTGCCACATTAGAGGGCTTCAATAGGGATATGTTGCACTCTGGCGATTTTACTGCTTTACACTTTTTAATCTGTTTCTTTAATAAGTTCATCCTCATCAGTCTCGTATGTGAGTCTTTCAATTTGTTTTTCATTTTTTCTGTCTGGAAATATTGCACTTGCACTTCGAAGAGAGGCGTTTTCTGCTTTGACAGTTTCAGTTTCTTTTCTGAGTTCGAAGCATAGAAGCTCCATTTCTTTGATTTTTGGGAGCTGGATTGATAACATGTCGCTTTGAATATTTTTAACCGAGAAAGGTGTTTGCCCTCCACCCTGGGGTGGAGGTTGGTTGACATCCATGTATAGCTAAAGGCTTATTAATAGAACAGGTTCTTGTCTGTGATAAATATATAACAAAATGTTAAATTTCTTGATTTATTTAACACTTTACCAGTCCAGTAAGTATTGAGATAAATATTAATGCAAAAACTTTAATTTCAAATTCTTCACCAAATTACCCGTATTAATAATTACACTTTACGATTACGATTATATTTTGTGTAATTGGTTTTAAAGTTTTACACTTTTTTTTAATTTATTATTTTTAAGCTTAGAAGTTTTTTTGTTTTTTTGCTGTCTCTATCAGCTGATTTATATTTTTGTGTATAAAAAACTGTAGCTATCTGTCTCTATCAGATTTGTTTGTATTAAATTTAGTGTCACTATTATTAAAATAAATTATGTTCCACAATAAAAGCGCCCAATTCTGATTTATTTCTAACATACCACAATATATATATGCACACAATTTTCCCCATTAATTCAGCAAATCATGCGCAGAATACTTCCATAACTATAAACTTTGTTGACGTGCAAATAGAAAGACACTGTGAGTACTTCAAATAATTTACCTCTTAGCCAAATTAACTATTTAGTTAAATTTTGCAGAGCAAATTTAGCACACGTACATTTGCTACGAACTTTAACGAAAATGAAAATTGATGGACAACATAAGTAAGCTGAAAATAGTTGCCTGGAATGCAAACGGGCTCATTAAACAACTATCTGAGCTAAAACCGTATCTAAATCAAAATAAAATGTTTATCTTACTGATATCAGAATCCCATTTGACATCTAAATGATACATTGCTATCCCAAACTACAACATATATCCCACAAATAACCCAGGTGACAAAGATCAATGCAGTAAAACAATATGCTTTCGAAAATATACAAGCCACAAAGGTAGCAGTTGACGATTCTCAAAGGTATTTCACAATTACGGCTATTTACTGCCCACTCAAATTCAACAACACAGCAGAAGAATATCTAAAAATCTTAAAATAACTTGGTGATCGCTTAAAATAGGTGTAGACTTTCATGCAAAAACTCAGATTTGGGGGTAGAGATTTACGAATGTGAAAGGTAAAAACCTACATGAAGCGATAGTAACGAACAAATCCTCTTTCCTTAGCACGGGGAACCCACATATTGGCCAAGTGATCCTAGAAAGACTCTTGACCTAATAGACTTCTTTACTATAAAAATGTGAAAAAGGAACTATTAACTATATAATCATCAACTGACCTTTCATCAGATCACTCTCCGATTATAGTTAATTACAACTCTACAAAAATGCAGCCAAACGACTTCAGCAAGTCGTTCGGCTTTCGAGAAGTTAAAAAAACACGCAAAATTTTAATTTTTAAAAACTTTGTTTATGATCGCCTTCAAAGTGCTCTCATAACGGCCAAATAACACTCCTTATTGATCGTTTGACCGTCCGGAAGGAATTCATAGTGCACTACACCACGAATATCGAAGATTTGATTTTGGACCGACTTTGGCGTTCTCTTTCGGTTTCGGCTCACCTTTTAAGCACCATTCGGTCAAATTCATAGACCCATGACTCATCACCAGTTATGATGCGTTCGATGAATGTGGGGTCACTATCTGCGTTGGAAATCATCTTTTTGGTCACATCACAACGACGCTTTTTTTCAGCTAAAAATGAAATTCAGCTAAAAATCACCACACGAAAATTTTTGAACTTCTTTGTATAGACGCCAAACAAAAACTAATCGTACGATATGCGTCAAACTTTGACAGAAAGTGTATAATAGTGTTGCCAGCGTGAAAATAAAAAAATTTATCGAGCGCCTTTTCTGATCACAAGGTATATAGATAATGTTGGGATACATTTAGGGAAATTCTAAATGATAAACTATAAAATGTTTCTCTTAAGTCTGATCCTGAAATAGACACAGCTATTGCTTATCTGAACAACACACTTATAACAGCCGTAACTGATTCTACACCTGAAATAAAAATGACCACCAAATATTACAAACTTTCACCAGAAATCAAGGAAATAATAGCACTTAAGAGAAGGCTAAGAAAGCAATGGCAGCTAAACCGAGCGCCTGTGTTTAAGACGCAAATAAACAAAGCGACTAAAAATTTAAAGGAATTATTAAATAAAGACAAGCAACTAAATATAGCGACGAATATTACCAAGTTTGACCCCAATAAAGCAACAAAATATTACTTATGGAAAGCTACGAAACTTTAAAAACATGTTTACTAATGACCAAAATGCAATTGCGAAAAAAATTAATGCGAAAAAATCTTCGGGATATAACGGAATCACTGGAAGGAACTGCCTAATAACGGCTTTATTTTTATACGTAATCTTTTCAACTGCATACTTAAAAATAAATACTTTCCAAAACCATGTAAAGTAGCTGAAATCATAGCCATATAAAAATCCACGTCTAGTGGAGTCTCACAGACTCATTAGCCTATTGCCTTGCTTATTAAAGCTATTTGAAAAAGTATTTATGAGAAGACTAGACCCTATTATACACCAAAATAAACTGATTCCAGATCACTTATTTGGCTTCCGCAAAAAACACTCAACTATCCAGCAAGTACATCGTGTTATTAACAAAATTTCAATCGATCTTGAAAAGAAACAATTGATAAATGCAGTATACTTAGATGTAGCGAAAGCTTTCGATAGTGTTTGGCATGATGGACTCATTAAACAATTAACAAAAATTCTGCCTGAGAATTATGTTCAAATTCTCAAGAGCTACATCATTGAACGTTACTTCAACGTAAAAAAACATCCGGTTTTAAAAACATAAAAGCGCGTGTCCCACAAGGTAGTGTAATATGCCCTGTTCTCTATCTACTTCACACAGCCGACATCCCAACCTTAGCTGTTGCAAATGAAATGATTGCTACCTTCGCAGACGATACTGTACTACTCGCGTCAGACTCCAATATTGACATCGCTAGAGGTAAACTCCAAAAGAATCTAAACATAGTTTCTGAGTGGTTCTTGCATTGGGGTATAAAAATCAATAGAGACAAAGTCACACAAGTGTTGTATACTAACAGAAAATTTGTGGACAAGCAGTTGCTCCTACATGATGTACCAATACCAAAAAGTACCAAAGCCAAATATCTTGGAATAACAATAGACCAGGAACTTACTTGGAAAAATCACATAATCCAAAGAAGAAATGAAATGAAACAAAAGTTTGGCTAACTATATTGGATGCTAGGACCTAAGTCAACGCTTTCTTTAAAAAACAAAACACTAGTATATACCTAAAATTGTAATTATGACATTAGTGCGATATGGCATCGAACTTTGGGGGTACTGCCTCCAAATCTAACATTCAAATTATTCAAAGGTGCAATCGAAAATATTAAGAACAATCGTTAATGCTGATTGGTATATACCAAACAACGACATCCATAAAGACTTTGGTGTTGAGCCCATAACCGAGGTGATAAAAGCAGCTAGTGCAAAGCACATAACTCCACTACTGACACATAAAAACTCAGAACTCCAGACATTACCGACGAAAGAGTCAGCTCACACCAGAAGACTAAAACGCTCATTCCTAACAGACTTAATAAATATTATGTTCTAATGTAAAAATTGTTTTTTCATGTTTCTTAACTTATTGCAAAAATTGTATTTGTTAAATATTGATTTAATATTACGTATTTTCTTTATATACTAAAATTCTCCCAATTACTTATTGCTATTTAGTAAGGCAGATGTGATTATGTATAAATAATAAAAATTTAGTGAATTGAATTAGGAATAAATAATAATAATTTTTTTGTATGATATTGACTGTTGCGAGAACGCAATGTTGGTCGAATGCGGTAATAAAAGTAGAAATTACAACTTTCTGGAAAAAACAATTTTGTGTAGGCTTTTTAATAATCACAGCAAAATAAAAATATCGCTTAGCTGAAGTATAAACTCAGTGATTAAAACATTAAATTAGTTGGTTTAAACATTTATTTTTAATATTGATTATCAGAAATTCTTTAAGCGATTGATTGCCTTGTTCTAAGATATAATTGTTTCTACTTTAACAGTCCGCACTGCTAAAAGATAAAAGTTTTAGATTCAATTAATATCAATTGTAGTAGTTAAATAAAGATCACTAGGGGAGAATTACAGTCAACCTGCAGATCAAATTCAGGAAAAAAAAGACTCTACAAAGAAGCTACAGATCTAATGTCAGAAACAATACAAAAATAACAGATATTTCAAAAAAAAAAAGAAAAAACTATATGATTAAGGATTTGTTAATTTGACGGGCATCACCCATGTTTCCGTTACGGTGATTATGCCTCAAAAAATTTTAAAATATAAAAAAGGGAAAAAAAAATGTTTGAAATTTATATAAAATTTTTTAACATGTTTAAAGTAAATTTTAATTAAGAACTGTGATTTGTAAATTTATGAAATTGATAATCAGTTTTTTCTCTTTTTGAATATTACAAAAAAAAATAATTTTTTTTATATACTATACATTAGATACATATATTACAAAATTTTTTTATTTTTTTTATATAATATACTTAAAGATATAAAAATTATTATAAATATTTTTTATTTTTATATATTATAAAAAAAACAAAAAATGATTTGCTAATTTATTTTGAAAAAAAAAATAACATGAAAATTTCATCTAGGTGCAACGGGAGCTAACGTCATTTCAGCGACTGAAGTAAGTGCATTCTACGATTGTATTTTGTTTATTTCTTTTTATTGATCTGACATAATTTTTTATTGTAATTTTTTTTTGGGTTTTTACATTCTCTCTTGCTAATTATAGATTGGAATTTTTGAAAGAAGTTTTTTTTGTTTCTTATAATACACAAAAATATGACGAACGGCTTGTTTTACTCGTCAGACTTATGTTTTTTACTGCATTATTTAACATTTTTTTTGTTTTGTTGTCTTGAGGAAAGGAAAAAAAGGAAAAAGCATTGTAAAACAAAAAAAAACTAATGTTAATATTGTGAAGTTGTTTGTTTTGAATTTTTGTAAGCTTGAACAAAAATTTTATACAATAGATTATAATTATGAAATTTTATTTATTTTCTTAAATTAGCTAATTTTTTTATTGTACCTATTTATACTTTTTAGTTAATTTTTTTACAATAACAAAAATTAATTAATTTTTTACGTACTTAATTTTGTCATTAATTAGAAATTTAAATTACTGAAAAACTGTTTTATTTTAAATATAAATATAATTACATCATTATACATTAAATAAATCATAGCTTTTTTCATAACTTTTAAATTTCTTATATATTTTTTATGAAATATAAAGAATTAAATGACAAAGAAATCTAGATTAGTTAGGTAAAATGAAGCACTATGAATAATACTATATTAGAAAGCTCGCACATAGAGGTCAATAAGAAAGGAAAAAAACTAAATAGATAATATTTACTTACTTACTTATGTGGCCATAACAACCCGTTACCGAGTTTCGGCCTGACGCAGCATGTCTCCCCAGGCGCCTCTGCTGCGTGCGTGCCTTCTCCAGTCTCGTATATCAAGTCCAGTTAGTGCTCCCTCAACTTGATCACTCCACCGGAGACACGGTCTACCTCTACGCCTTCTTCCGTCAACTACTGCTTCAAACACCTTTTTCGCCGGAGCGTTTTCATCCATTCTCACGACATGACCAAGCCAGCGAAGCCGCTGGATGTTAATGCGCTGAATTACATCAATGTCGTGATAAAGCTCTTACAGCTCGTGGTTCATTCTAATGCGGTAGTCGTCGCCAACTCGTAGAGGACCAAAGATCTTACGAAGAACTTTTCTCTCGAACACTCCCAGTGCTGCTTCATTATTCTGTGATAACGTCCATGCTTCTGCGCCATACAGAAGCACAGGGAGGATGAGCGACCTATAGAGCGTAAGTTTCGTTTGTCGAGAGAGGGCTCTACATCCCAATTGCCTACTGAGCCCATAGTAGCACCTATTAGCAATGGTGATTCTTCGTCTGATCTCCAGACTGACATCATTTGTATTCGTTACGGCGGCGCCAAGGTAGATGAAATCCTTGACAGATTCGAAATTATAGTCGCCAGCCACTAGCCCGGTGTCCGAGCGACGCACATTTCTACCAGTAGTCGACATATACTTCGTTTTTCCCTCATTCACCGCTAAACCCATTCCTACAGATTCCTTTTCGATAGCAGCAAAAGCAGCTGTAACATCACGCTTGCTACGCCCAATGAAGTCAATGTCGTCGGCGTAAGCAAGGAGCTGGACACATTTGTAGAATATCGTCCCATTACGATGAACACCTGCCCTGCGCATGATCACTTCCATGACGAAATTGAAGAGTTCACATGATAAGGGATCACCTTGTCTGAAGCCTCGCACGGTATCAAAAGGTTCAGAGAGACTCGATCCTACCTTGACGGAGCTACGGGTATTACTCAGCGTCATTCTGCAAAGCCGAATTAATTTTGCAGGGATACC